TGAAATGAAAGATGACAGGATTTACATTTACAAATATAGATACCTAGCTACATATACAAGAAAATTATATTTTGCTTATTCTGAAAACCTGTTTGATAAAGACTAATAACAGATTTCCTGGATGTAGACTGTTCTCTCATAATAAGACCTTATGATTTAATTTACAAAACATTTCTATTGGAAGGCATATCTCACCATTATCCAATTAAAGTGATTCTTTTAGTCTAAATGAATTTATTTGAAATACTAGTGTGTGTCAAGCCATTCTTTTAAAATGGAACATGCACAACAGTTTGACTTGCTGGTATTTTTATTTAATTCTAGTTTTGACTTTTCATTGTGGATTGCTGTTATTAATTCTTTATTATATAAATCATGTGTCTCTATTGTACAGTATTTGCAAAATATGTTTTCTCAAGACATATGATAAATACTTTCATATATTTCATAATTCCTTATCTTTCTTTGATTATACATTAATGGAATCAAAACAAATCAAGATCCTACATATTTTACTCCAGATATATGGTCTGAGACATGTCTTGCCAGGTACTCGTAATCATGTTTAGGAATACTTCAAAAGGTAATGTCAGTTTACAACATGCCACAAACACTGCTTGGTAAACATTCTGGTCAGTGTTTCAGAATTGAAGTATAACCTATCTTGTACATGAAGTGTTTATACATTACCTGAGGTCTGTCTATGAATTATAATGAGACCTGCAGTGCAGTGTCCTCTCATAGGTGTGCCTTGTTCCTTGGGGGCTGAGTATGACCCATTGAACACCTTCATGATGTACATAACATATTCATATTTTTATATATTTTAGATCACATCTGGTGCTTTTGAGGTAAAGAATCTTTTTTCACTAACAATTTTGGTGATTGATATTTTGTGAATTATACAATAGACCTCATGTATTATCAGGAGGCTAAATTCATGATGTATGTAATTCTACAAGCAGAATTAGAATTAAGTCAAAGTGGATTTTTAAGTTCACACTAACACATACATTCTGGATGGCATTCACAGTCTTCTTTACATCTACACCTTCACATACACATTTAGAGTCATAACCACCCTCCCACTAAATTCATATTCAAATTTGTTACTCCATAACACAGTCAGTACTTTAAGTCAAGTTTATATCTGTAATTGACTGACTGATATACAGAATCATGATATAAATCATATAGATTCATGATGTCCAGTAAAACTTTGAATCACATTCAAAATCATCTTTTGCATATACACACAATGTTGCACATCCATATGTGCTCATCTACATCCTTATACACAAAAGAAGGCATTTGCAGTAACATTTGTCACCAATTATACTGAAGCTGGGAAATTACAGGTCATCAGATCATATTCATTAACAGAATTGCACTTGGCAGGTGAATTTTTTTTATTCAGTTTTGAAATTCTTATTATCATGTAAATAAGAGAACACAGTATCATAGCTCTTGGTTAATGGATTTAAAATTTGGTGTATATATTATGTGTCTAAATTGAAATGGTCAAGAAAGCTAACATTCCTATGCTTTGGACACTTAAAAATTTTACTTTGCTGAGGATCTTTCTCACTCTATAATATTTACATTTTTAATTACGAGGTATAGATATTTTAATTTGAGAATAATACAAAACGTCACTTTTTTTTTTTTTTTTTTTTTTTCATTGTTTATAAAATGCTACTGTTTTAGCATATTATGATACTGTTTATTATTAACATGGTAATGCAAACCACACCTGATTCATTATGACATAACAAAGGCCAATTTATTATTTTCTTCTTAGATTAAAAATAAGATGATCATAAAATGCAATACTGACCCACCTCATTAACACCTGTATTTCTGTCACCAGCATAAATGCAAATAATGACTATATTGATAACAGTCAGTAAAGCAGATAGTCGATACTTTTGATATAGTGTGTCAACAAAATGGGAAAAAATTATATGACATTTGTAATATAAATCTAGTATGAGGAAGGGAGACTATCAGCCATATTATTAAAACAAGAGTAAGGCCTGCTTTGACATCTCCCCTATGCACCTTGTTAAAGATTTTGGAAACTACATGGGGTCTGGGATTCTTGCATAAGGTTAGGATTTCCCTGACAATACTAGTTTTTCTCTTTTATTTATTTATTTTTTGATATTCAATCAGAAATTAATTGATGACTCATACCTTGTTTCAAATCTTCATTTTCTATAAGCTAGCTGAAAATTAATAAGTGAATCTAAATAACAGCTATGAAAATGTGTCTATAGTTTCTTTGGTAGATTTAAAATATATTATGAAATGGTCCTAACTTTGCGAAAGAAAAGCATGCATTTATTTTGCACTTATCTGACTGACAACAAAATAAAATAGGAATACTTGAAAGTACATGTGAACCTTTCATATAAAAGGCTTACATTACAAGCAAAGAGAATTCACTAAATTACATAAATATATGTGTGTGTGTGTGTGTGTGTGTGTGTGTGTGTGT